TTTACGCACATTTTTAAACACCTGCTAACACGCTGCCCTCCCTAAGCTACACAGGTGGCCAAGGTGTTAGTACACGGGAATACTGCACGTTATTTCTATCTAAACCCCCCACGGCCCCCCCCCCAAACCTTGCACCGCGCTGTATACTCCAAGTCTCCCCTCCCACGGGACACCCGGCTATTTTAGGTGGGCGTTGCTGCAGCTTAGCCCCGCCCCTCCAGCCCGGCGGTGGATGGACACCTCTCCACCTTTCTCCAGGTACACAACGCGGCCGGCCAATAGCCGCTCGGCACTCCGCTGGCCACGCCCTCATCGAACCCACAAGGTGGGGGTTGCTGCCGCCGCCGCCGCGAGGCGTTCTAGCCACGCCCATCCCCGCGCGCCCCGTCTCCTGCCTCCCCCTCCCCCCCACCTCACCTTCGAGCGTGACGGCGTCGAGCTCGCGCTGCGACTTCTCCCCCGAGGCGGGCTCGGCCGGGGCCGCCTCCTCGTGCATCTCAACGTCGGCGAGCGGCGGGGGAGGCTGAGGGGGCTCCGCGGGCGGCGGCTTGGCCTTCTCCGACCCGGCGCGGCGCCGAGAGCCGCCTTCCTGCTTCATGGCTTCACCTTCCACACACACACACCGGCTACGGCCGTGACTGAGCAACTATCGCGGAGGACGACGGGAAAAGCCGAGCAGGCTCGACGAGCCGATCGCCGAACGCGGACGAATGGATTGTTTCCTCGCTCCCTGTCCCCATCCCCGTCTCCATGGTAGGGAACCATAGAGAGAGAAGGGCGGGCTGCGGCGCCGCGCTTCGGCTTCCGGGTTGCGCCTCTTCCTTTTTTTCCTTTCCCCTGCCGAGAGGGAAGCGCCTCAAAGCGGGTGGAGGGAAGGAGGGGGCAGGCCGGCAGCCAGGCAAGCAAGCGGGAGGGTGGATGGGAAGGGCCTTCGAACTGAAATAGTAATACATTTTTAAATTACTGATTTAATTTATATACCGCCCTTTATCAAAAGATCCCAGGGCGGTTTACAATATTCCTAACGGGTGTGTGGAAATAAGAACCAGAAGAATCTTTATTTGCATCAGCCACTAGCCATGGCAATAAAAAAATAAATAAAATGTACTGAAGATAGAGGTAAAAACTTAACTATAGAAAATACGTTTTGGGGGTTTACATCAATAATCAAATAATAGATCTTTTTCTAATTGCCTCCGCTAAAAACCTTGCAGTGTGTGAGACAGAAAGAATGTGGAAACCCGCCGTCCTTTGTGGGGCAAATAATAACAAGCCCCAAAACAATGGATTCATTAACGTTGAAATCCTATGCATACTTACTCTCTTGTAAGTAACAGGACTGCAGCCTCACATTGCATCATTTTAAATCTTTTTTTAAAAAAATTCTACATCTTTTAAAAAAAATTATCGTTTTAGAAAAGGGTGCTGAGTGTCGTGCTGCATAAATAATCGTGCATGGTTGTTTTTTTAAATAAAAAAAGAACCGTTTATTCCGGGAGGAGTTGAGGATCCTCCCTGCATCAGAAAGCACAGAGAGCAAAGCTGGCCGCATTAAACTCGGGAATCTGCCCCCAAACTTCACTGCCTTGCATTTGCAGCTGGTCCAGTCAGTGACCTTCTCTTCTTTTCCTTTCCCTGGTCTTTGGGTTGGGGACTACATTTCTCCCTCAGCAGGCTAAGATCAGTGCTGAAGCAGGGCCAAGTATAGTATCCAACTCGGGAGAAGGATGCTTTTGAAATACAGTGGTACCTCGGGTTACATACGCTTCAGGTTACAGACTCCGCTAACCCCAGAAATATTACCTCGGGTTAAGAACTTTGCTTCAGGATGAGAACAGAAATCGTGTGACGGCGGCAGCGGGAGGCCCCATTAGCTAAAGTGGTGCTTCAGGTTAAGAACAGTTTCAGGTTAAGAACGGACCTCCAGAACAAATTATGTTCTTAACCCGAGGTCCCACTGTACTGTGTGAACTCTTACAGCTAACCAGATGTAATAGCTCGTCTCTTAAACTGCTGGCTGTACACATTCTGTCTTTTGCTGCTTAGTCAAAATAGGAAACCAAAGAAGTAAGTAGGTATATGGACAGAATTCATTTAAATAGAGCCAGTCTATTTTATTGTAAATACACAATTGCTCCCTTTCTCCTGCCGTCATGTGCTTTCTTCATGATGAACCAAACATGCTCATCTGTCCCCACTCTTTTCTGTAACCTCCACCTGTCAACTTAGTTCTACACCCCTCTACAGCTTGTAAAATTATTGTAATACTATCCTCTGTAGTCTATTAGTATTTATTAAAGTTGCATAAGTACATCAATAACCCACCCCTGCATTATACAAAAACCCTTCCTATCTAAAATAACCACCCCAATAAACAACATTAAAAACTATCAGCAGCAGGAATATGTTATTTGTATGGAAGGACACATAGAGGAGCAGGAAATCATTAAGCCACCCAGGTCCCAAGCTGTTTGAGGATTTAAAGGTAAAGACCAGCATCTTGATTTGAGCCACAGACATGAACTAATGCTGATCAAATAGGACCAGCCACATTATCTGCTTGGTCCATCATAGAAGGTTTGACATCTAAGCATGCAATGATGGGTGAATACATTTCCATTGTACCAACACTAGAGGGTGCTCAAGGAAATTATTAATACAGTCACAGTACAACAAAAATAAATTATTTTATCACTGCTACAAATTTAAGATTCTGATTTTTAACATAAATGTTGTCAGGATCCTTTCACTAATGTAATTCTCATGCCAGATTTTCAACATTTTCAGGTTCCTTAACTTCCATTTCCAGTTATTCATTTGAAAATTATTAGAAGAACCCATCTAAACCTCTCCCACCCATTCCTGTTTTTTGAGTTTCAGACTGTAATTTCTCCCAAGCATATACCTTTAGTCTTCAAAGAGCATTCTCACCGCCTTGACATGTTATTTATTGCTTTACTCTTCTGTATTTGCTGCTACACTTCTCACATAATCCCAAAAGAAAGGACCTATGTTCATTAGAGCTGTACCACAAACAGCCACCAGATGGATGACACCTTTTAAGTACCACTCTTCAGATGTCTGCTGGGCATCTGCCACTGATGAAGGGCAAGGTTGCTTAAGCCAATCCCAGGTTCGTTCCTGTCTGTGCTTCACCTCATTGGCTAAGATTGGCAAAACCAGGGAAATAGGTGGATAGAAGATCAGTAGCATTACAATGAGCTGAGTCAGATCAGGGCTGCCATTTTTTGTGGTAGTAGCTCCCTATCACGGATATCAAGTTCCACCCACAGAACTGAAGTGTGGATTAAAAATTGAGTAAACGTATTGATGTTTGAAGCAGTTTGGCAATTGGACCTAGAGGGGTGGTTGGCTGCCTGGTCTTCAGGCAGAGACTGGATAGCCATCTGTTGAGAAAGTTCCAGCTTCAGGCCACACTTCTGTTTCTGTATGGATAAAGATAAAAATACCTGCAGGTGCTAAACAGGATTGATCTTGCTGCCGAGAACCTGTAGCATAATTTTTGCTATGCCAGAGTTAAGGTTGCACTGAAAATTCTGGATGAAAGTGAAATATGGCGTACCTGTGCCATTTGCAAAAAAAGATTGGATTTTATGTGTATGCTGCTTTGAAAATTAACTTTGTTTATTATACTGCCCTTCACCTGAGAATCTCAGGGTGATTTACAGCAAAACAAAAACACGTAACGTAATAATCTGAGACACTATATCAAAAGACCATGTTTTATTTTGTAAGTTTGTAACAAAACGATGTTATGGCTCCTTCACTTTTGTGACTATAATGTAGCAATTACTTATGGAGGAAAAAGTAGCAAGTAAGATTTGTAAATAGCTTTGGATGAGACCCGATTCTCCCACTTAACTGTTGCTGATTAATAAAACACCAACATTAAAAGAAAAGAGATCTTTAATACAGTATGTGTTTTGACTTAAAATCTGGATCCAGCAGCCACTACACACAACTTCTGCAAGAGTTAGGTCATCTGTTCATTTTCTCTCTTTCTGGATAGTAGTAACAAAACTCCACAAAACTCTCATACTAGTATTTTTTGAAGATAATCAAGGCACATGTAGAAATACTACTCACATTCCAATAGGCTGTTCTATGGCTCTGAGTGAAGATGGTTAGAATATCAGAAATCTTCAGTCTTCTTGCAGGCACAAATGAAGGTGGAAGGGGCAATCTTCAGCTCATTCTTACGGAAGGAAACCATGGCTCCTCATTAAATCTGAACTTATCCATAGTTATACATGTTAGATAGTAGGGAGTCAGCAGAGGCACTGAATTAAAGCAATGGCCTCTATCCATGAACAAGCATTAGACTTAAAGACGTAAACAAAGTGGATACTGTGGGATTCTAGAGGGTCAGAATGCAAAGAGGATAAAAGACTAACACGGCAACCCTGTACTCACTTTCCTGAGAGTAAGCTCCATTGACTTTAGTGAGACTGACTTCTGAACACATAGATACCTAGGTAGACAGGGTACTGAGTGCATACAGAGCTGCATATAGTGCACAGAGAGCTGAGAAAGCATCAGGACTTCCAGTCCCAGCAAGACTGGATCCATTTTTTTGCACCGTGACTCCACTCATTTCGATGATTGCTCCAGTTATATTCAGTTCCTCTTCGCTTAAGAACTTGGCTTCTATGGTAAACACTTTTTCTCTTCTGCTGAAGTCATCTAGGATGCTTCCGACCTTTGCAAACAAGAAAAAGGCAAAATCAGAACTTTCTGGTGTGTAATACCATTACTTGATGAATGGTATCAGTGTTGAAAAGCAATAGACATAATGAGGATATAAGAGTCTTGCTGAGTCAGGCCAAAGTCCAGCATTCTGTCCTCACAGTTGTGAACCGGATGCTTATAAGGAAGCCTACAGATAACAAGCTGCCTACTTGTAATTCCCAGGATCTGATAATGAGAGGCATATTGCCTCTGACATTGGAGGCTAGTACATAGCCATCATGGCTAGTAGCCTTGATAGTCTTACCCTTCATGAATTTGCCTAATTCCATTTTAAAGCTATCTAAGTTCATGGCCATTGCTATACCTGTGGATGGCAAATTCTGTAGTATAGTTCTTTTGTCTGTCTTAAATTTCCCAATATTTAGCTTCATCAGATGACTCTCAGGGTCTAGTATTATGAGAGTTGTGTGTGTATGTATGCCTTCATCCACTTTCTCCCCAAGCCAGGCATACTTTTATACACTTCTATCATGTTCCCCTCTTACTTGCATTTTTTATAAACTAAAAACCCCCATATGTTGTAACCTTATTCTCCCTGTGGAAGTGCTCCAGCCTATTGATCAGTTTGATGCCCTTTTCTGAAACCTTTTCAGCTTCTACAGTGACCAGAATTGTACATAATATTCCCATGTGTAGTTGCACCATAGATTTGTGTAATGGCATTATGATACAGGCAGTTTTATTTTTTGATCCCTTTCCTATTGCTCATTAACACAGAATTCACCTTTTTGACAGCTGCTGCACCATGAGTTAACATTTTCATTGCTCTATCCACTACAACCTGAAGGTTGATTTCCTGGCGAATTCAGACCTTATTAGCGTTTATGTGAGGTTAGTTTTTGGGCACCAATGTTAATCACTTTACACTTGTTTAACACTGAATTCCTTTTTTGCTATGCCCATTCAATTCATTACATTAACGAAAGGTGCAGCATGCATCACTGTAGAATTCCTATTTTGAGTTTATACTGTACAGTAAGCATTATGTTGTTCAATTTTATTAGAAAGCACACACCTCCAAATTCAGTGGGACTTATTCCTCAGTAAGCACACAAAGGGTTGCTGCCTTTAAAAAAATAATTCCTAAGCTTGACTTGTTGCCACAATACTTACTCACAGCCATATGGAAGAGTTATGTGTGCTGATCTGATGGATCAGCCAAGGATGCGCACAAACCTTATACTTGTGAATGTGCAGTAGTGACATTCTGCATATCTTTAACCTCGCCCATTTCCAGGAAAAGTATCTTCTAGTGGTCTCTCTCTCTCTGCCTTAAGCACTAACTGGAATTTTCCCTTACCAGTGCAAGCTGACTGTTAACAATCTTCTTCTCCACGGATTCTACCAGGAGTATCAGCTGCTCCTCTGTCAATTCTGGAAAAGTGAGGAATATTGTCAGTTTCAGGAATGGGTTCCATTCTGTGAAATGCAAGGCCAAAGCAGAGACCTGGCAAAGATTTTGAGGATTTTCAGTTAGCAGCTGTAAGTTGCCTCACTGTTCTCAAAATAATTACTTGTCTTCCTCTATGGCTATCTCCCTTAAATATTCTCAAAGTGCTCTGTTTAGGGATCAGAGAATCTAAGAGCTCATTTTTGGGGGAGGATTATGTCCACATCTGGCAAAGGAGCTGTGCAGGATCAATATATATATGGAAGATAACTGTTGTCACAGTCTGGCATCTCCAGCATCTGTCCTGAAGATTGCAGGGCTCTTTGAGATGAGTGGGAGTCCTACAGTTTGAGCCTTGCCCACTGATAATCCTTAATCCTACCTGTAGGATGCCTCTGCCTAGCCCAAATACTCTGAATGTATAAAAGTAACCCATTTAGTTGTCTTATGTAGTTGTGACAAGACATGGAAGCTTATGGATAGCTAAGGTCCAGGCTGCACATTCATCAGGTTGGAGCTTGCAAAGGCTGAATTCCTTGAGCATCCCAACTAGAAAATGATAAGCAAATACCACCACATCTCAAATTTTGGGGGGCAGGTGTGAGCTTTCAACCAGCTTTAGTTCTGGCATCTGTCTTAAGGATGATCTGTCCTTCCATCCTTACTTTCAGCTGCTCCTGGGCTGAAATGTTCTCCATTCAAGTCAAATACTTGATTCTGATATTTTGAGAGGGATAATGCTTACCATCTAGAGCATAAAGGAAGTAGAGGACTGCCTCAACAAGGTCAGTGAAAACGGCCCCACTGGAATCTTGTAAATTCTCCACCAAGTCTCGCAGCTCTGGCTTGCCAGCCTTCAGCTTGAATTGACCGGTGCCTTCAAGAGCCTCTTCCAGCTGAGAGTTTAGGTTACAGCAAAAGATGTTAATGCCAAATGGTGGGTATATTAACATATGGCCTGAGATTTGGCTATGCGTAGCACATATGTGAAAGTAGGGCTTGGTAGGTGATAGGTATCACTTTATTTGTAAATGGCTGTGAACATCAAGACTCTGGACCATTTGGTCATTTTTATTTAGATGTGGCACAATCCACAAAGCCTAGAAACATTAGGAAAAAGCATTACTCTTTTGGGCAGGGAGTATTGCAGTGGGGGAGCTGAGGGCCTAATGATAGACTGGACTGTTGCTAATAAGTAAAGTTTTGACATCGGGTAACTACAGTAGGTAATTTTTGTACCTCTAATTTATTATATATTATATATATATCATATTTTGTGTTTGTGTGTAGAAGATTGTAATGAGAGGGGCCCATTGTGTCAATAGGGCAAGGTTAAAGGAGGGCAGTCAAGTTCATGCACACCACATTGAAAGCAAGAGATAAGAGAACTGCCAGATCCTAAGGAAGGATTCAACCAGCAACTGGAAACTGTATGATAAATCATCTTTTCAGTTGCAAACCCCTTGCCCACACCCTGAAAAACCTTTTCCTAATGTTCAACACAGCCACTGGTTTTATTTTTTTTGTCCTTCTTCTCCCTAAGTGGTTCAGATGTGTTTCCCAATTATAACTGGTCATACAAACCCCTGATTGTTGAGAGGCCATGTCTACCTGTTGCTACATTCCCTCCCCCTAAACCTGGGCCTTTTAGTCTCTAATTCGAGTCTGGAACATTTAATCTGTTGAACATTTTATTTAACACCTCACTTCACTGCTTTAGTTTTGTTTTGTTTACAGAACAATTCTGAAGATTTTAAAAGTAATGAATTGGTTTGTACTAGTATTTCTTTGTGCGTATTACATTATTATTTCTGAACCACTCTGCAATATGTTAATTTAAGAGTGATATATAAATGAAATCCTAAAGTAATATATATATATATTTTAAAACTTTACCTGGAGCTCCAGTTCCTGCAACAAGTCATTCTCCCTCATTATCACCAGAAAGCCAGTTAGAAATTTGCCACGCAGCATCGCAGATAATGAAGAGAATATTACAAATTCTGTCTTAACTTCTTGCTGTATGTCTTTACTCTTGTGTTCTCTGATGATTCCTGAGATCACTGGCAGTATGGACAGAATTAGAGATTAGGGGAAGGGACAAAACATAGGGTTCACAAGTTTGATACTACTCCATGTTACTGAAAAGAACCTCAGAATACCTGTAAGATACCTTTTCTCCCTGTAGGACTACTAGCAATGCTGGAGGTTGTGGTAGGGTTAGAAATAAGAAACTCTAATTCCCTCAGTGTTACTGCTCCGATCAAAACTAGAACTAGCCCCTTGAAGGGCTGGATTATCTGTATCTATGCAGTGCCTCTTAGGAGCGTCCTACTCTCGTGTAGAATCCTGGCAGAGACACATGCCCGATTGGCATGTTCTTTCCTTCCTGGTCGATCATTCGGGAGCTTCAAAAGCTTTCATCTGCCCGAACATCGCAGCGACTAATGCATTAGCACACTTAGGGATCCGCAGAGTAATCAGAGTTTGCGTAACAGAACTCAGTAGCTCAGCATTTGGCTAATCTACGTTTATTTACATATAATACACTCGGAGCATCCTGACTTAGCTCCTGCCTCTTTCTCATCAGATAGCAAGGAGAAAGAACAAAGGACAATAGTCCCACTTCACGGAAGAAAGTAACACAAAACATCCTGTCTCTGTCACTTCCCACACTGTGGAATGAAAACATACACCGTCATGTGGTAGACAACAATCCCATGACTGCAGACATGGGAATGAATCTCCAACAGTGCCTAGGACCCACAAAACTCCCAACAGCCTACGAAAAAGTTTGGGGCCCACCAAAAAACTTCAATTAAAGCAAATTATTGTTCAATTAAGCCATTTAACATTTATTCTGGACTGCAACCCCCAATCAGTTTTGCTGGCTGGGACTGATGGGAGTTGTAGTCAAGAATAGCTAGAGGGTGCTAGGATGAAGGCTGCATCAAACTCATAAACCTCATAGGTCATATAGAGAAGCCTTGGAGTCCCTGCCTCTCATGGTACATGCAGCTTTGATGCTGGTACTCTGGAAATGTTAACATTCCCCCTCCACATTTTTGCCCAGGGCAAGAGATAAATATGCTTGATGCCATCTGCCAAGTATTTGATTTTGGTGTCCAGGAACGTATAACATTTTCTATATCTGAAGGTCAGGATAATATTTCAGTTTGATAAAATAAGTTTGATAAAAACAATAAATGTTTTATTTTGCCTAAATATTAGTGGCATTGGTTTTTTAAATCCCACACGGGACAAGATCTGTTGTCTTCCTTCATAATCTTCAAAAACATCTTTTTTTAAAAAAAATATCATATTTATTGAAATTTCCAAAAAATCCAAAAAAGAAAAAAGAAAAAGAAAAAAGAAAACATTAACATTTAAACCTTACTTTCAATAACATCTTTCCAAGACTTCCCACACCTCCCCTTCTTGTATTCCATTTCCATTTGTTTAGTTCAACAAGTTCTTATCCCGAGTTTTTGACCTTATTGTATTTAGCCCATTATTCAATTTAGTTCATTTTATATAGCCACTTTCCCTTTATAATCCACAGTCTTTAAACATTAAAATCTTGTTCTAAGGTCGACCCCAATTCCCTTCCACGAATTCCCCTTTTTTATACTCATAACAAAACAAAATAAAAAAAGAAGAAGAGTTCAAAATATAATTGTACGCCCTTTGGATTCCCAAACTCCAACCCCCCTTTCCCGGTTTCGATCCCCAATGTCCATCAGTCTATCTGCTATCAGCCTGGAGACCTCACATCCGAGGCCCTTAATTCTCTCTCAGTTCCTCTTTGTCGGTTTTTTTTGGTAGTCCTTTATGTCCAGCACCAAATCTCGGAGAAGCTCTGTCTCAAAAATGTCCATTTTTCTTCCATCCAGACCTCTATATTTAAAAGTGGAACTCAAATCTTGTTTCTTAATCCTTTTAAGTCTGAATGTCCCGAATGCTCCAACTTCCATCTTGCTCAAATTTGTAATCCATAGATCTTCAGATCTCCACATCAGGAGATCTCTCCAATCTTCATTGTCCAGTTCAAACCAAATTTGCATGGTCCAATTCTTGTTTTCCTTTATGTCCTTCCTAACAGGCCTTTGGCCTTCCTTGATCTTCTGCGGTGATGTGACTCCTCCTTCATTCCCTTCCAGATCATCATATATCTCTTGTTCCCTTTCATCACATTTCTCAGGTTTCTTTTCCTGCTCAGCTGCAAAAACTTCTAGTTCCGCTACAGGGGCTTTTTGTTCAGGAACAAAAACTTGAGTCAAGTCCCTTCCATTTTCAGTAGATATGTTTACTGTCTCCTTCAGTGTAGAAACCCCTGTAGTCAAAATATTGCTTTGTTCTTGAAACTTTCCCAGGAGATAAAAAGTCCTGTTCAACTCAATGAGTATTTTTACACTTACAGCCATTCTTGTAATGTCCCAAAACCCCCTCTAGAGGGATTATGGTTACTTAGTATCCTTCCAGTTCCAACCCAAAAGTCAAACTAACTTGTTATTCCTTGTTTTCAACAATTTATATCCAAATTGTATCAAATCTAGCCAGCAAAGGCACCAGAAACAATGTTCTCTTTTTATTCCCCAACTTTGACAGCTACTTTGACAGCTGTCAAAATCTTCTGTATCTCTTCACCAGGCTCTCTCACGGATCACTCCCGGTTCCCGGGGGGTTGCACTTCAGCTCTCAAAATTGACTCTTATCCTCCAGCAAAATTACTTGTACTTTCCAATCGTAAAATTAATAACTTTTATCGAATAAAGAAAAGAATATTCTCTCAACCTTAGTTGTCTAGTCCTTGCTTAAAATTGTTTACAAGGCGGGGAGACGGACTTCCTCTTTGCGCCTTCCCCGATTGTGCCAAATTCAAAGTAAAATTTTTTCCTTTTAAGTCCAATTTCCGTATTACTCACGGGTTGTTGCTTTTAATCCAAATGTTCTAAGGAAGAAGTCAGCGCTCTCCGTCCATGGCATGCGGCTTCACTCGGCAGGGGAAGCAGAGGACTCTCAGCACCGCGCCGCTCCCCGTCCCGTAGCCTTTAAAAAGGCTCCTTCGCGGGTCGGGGGGCGCAAACGGTGCCTGCCGAGTCACCAGGTCCACGGGCTTCCGCGCCCGTGGTTTTTAAGGGTCCCCGTGCCGCCGGCGCGGCAGGACCCGACCCCTGCTGAGCAGATTCCCTCCGGAACTCGGAGGGAATCCGCCATTCGACGATGGCGCTAACCCGGAAGTCCCAGAATCTTCAAAAACATCTTTACTGAGGCATTGCAATGTAAAAAGGTAATCAATTAAAAACTTAGCCGAAACAGTAGTTTTCAGATTTCCCACCTCAAGACCCACATTTAATTCCAACCTACCATTCTGAAATCTACTTACATTTTCTCTCAATTGAATCACATTGTCTACTTCCGCATACTCGAATAGTTCCATCTGGAAACAAAGAGGGAATCAGTGCAATTTTAATGTATTGACACAGTATGAGCACACCTCTGAGTTTCCCATCAATAATCTAACTGCTGCATGGTGAACAATTGGAAGCTCCCAACTACTTTTCATGGTCTATTTTGGAAGTTTTTAAAAGTTGCATTAGGTAACGCAACAGAGTCTCCAGGCACCTTAAACAAGGAGTGTTCACCTGTGACTCTCCAAATTTTGTTGGATTCCAACCCCATCTAGCCTGGCCAATAGTCAGAGATGGTGTGAGTTGTAATCCAGCAATTTCATAAGAGGGCAGATGGATGTAGGCAGGTGGGGGAGAAATGTAGGGTCAATGGGGAAAGAAATGCAAAACAACAACAGACTCTGACAACTCTGTTTGTGGAATGCTCTCCCAAGGGATAAAACACTGCTCTGTAACCAGGCCTTTGGCTGATTATAAACATTCTTTGCCCTTTTAACTGTGGGAGGGGGTTTATTGGTTTGCTTTTTGTCTTTCTTTGTAATTTGTGTTCCTTATTTAGTGAACCACCCTGTGATCTTCAGATATATGCAAATTTTTAATAACTGCTTACTTACATTAAACCGTAAATGTAAAATACTTTTTAAAAATTATATGTAAAATAAGTACAGTGGTAATTCACAAATCAGTGTTATGATAAGCAAGTTTACAGTGCAATCATATGCTATATTCACTTACTGAAAACAAAATCCTATTGAAGCTCAATGAGGCTTACTTTCAGTTAGGTGTGTAGTCTAACACATCTAGTACAGAGTCTACCATAGTTAGTTAATGTGCATGTACTTGTGTTACTTTTTCATGCTTTTATTTTATGGGCCACTTTGAGAAGCTTTCCAACTTTTAGAAGTGGTATAAAAATACTTCAAACCAATTTTCCACAGAATGAAATCCAGAAAGACTGTCCTCCATTTAAATCAGTGGACCATCTAAATAAATATGCTTAGGACCGCACTGCAGTTCGTATGGAACAAGAACACATTTTATTCTATCCGGAGAAATGAGAAAGTACATATAGAGATTGTTGATCCTTCCCTCTCAGTTCCTTTACATTTCAGGAAAATAAAGATTTCATACCAATGTACATAACTGCCATCACCACACATCTCTATTAGATGCTGGATTTCTCTGCCATCAAGTATATCTGTTAAGAACATATTTTAATTTAGGATAGAGACAGTTTTCAAAGAGCCAAAGTTGGCATGATTCAGCTCGTTACCCATGGTGTGTTGTCATTGCTTCACAAGACCTCCTGCTACAACAGCCAACTATTCCCTGCTTCAAGTTGAATCAAATGAAAACACAGGATTTCCCCCCCTTTCTCAGACATCACATTAGGCCAGAGAAAAATGTATGTGCTGTGAATACAGCAATGACACTCTCAAGCCATCTCTATCACTCTGTC